TCAGTTTTAATTTAATCTATAATTGAATTGCGCACACAATAAATGAAAATTTTTATTTTTTAATAACAAGAAAGATTTTTCTGTCGTGAACTATCATTTTTAACTTTTACATGTAAACGAGATGTTTGAAATACAACAAACATGTCAACTAAAACAAAACTGTTTTTATTTGAATTGATATTATCTAGTCGATGTTGAAAAATATCTGTTCAAGATTAAAAAAATCCTGCTTATTGTTAAAAGATGAGACTTATCCTTCATTCATAAAATTATTTCATGAAACACTATTTGAATTATTGGTCCAAGCTATAACAAGTTTTTTGATGAATCTACTTCGCAAGTATTAATTCGATGTACGAAAGGGATCTACAACAAAACGAAATATTTGTTTGATTTATGATTGCTCAATTTGGTTGAGTGAAAATAATTTTAAGAAAATCAGTTGTAGTATTAGTATGTTTTCGAAAATGGATCTTTTTCAGTGCGTCGGTATGCCAGTTTTCGTTGATTCATAATCAACTCACTCACACCCACGGTCGTTTACCACTATCGTACTATTCTTTCTGAGCGATGATTACGAGTATTTGTTTCTCATCATTATATTCCTTTGTTTAGCTTATTAAATCCTTATCAAAATCTTTGGTATGATATAACTAAAAATAAAGCAACAAAAGTTGTTTTTTCTCTAAAATATAATTCATATTAAAATCTATTTGTATATCGTTCAATGCTAGTTTAATCATTATTTTTAAGAATGTTTGTTAATAAAGAGATATTGAATCTTTATTTAGTTTGATAATCACAATAAAGAAATCTACAAGTACAAACAACATAGAATAATGTTTTGAGTAATCATTTGATAATGCTCGATCAGGCATTATTTATAATACGAATAACATTTTGATAAATTCTTTTACAACATTCTTTAAACTGTTGCCGGAATATACTTGATGCCAATATATATAGAGCAAATGTTACCTAAAAGTAGAAAATGTTATGTTGACATTAAAACTATTTATATCTTCAAGAGAACTAATGTAAATAGAATACTTACTGCTGCATATGTAATTAAAAGCGTATAACCTATATTAATAACGAATTTTTCAATAGGAAGCCGATTACCAACTCTTACTACCGAACTTGTAACAACAAAATAAAGGTTAAATGTTGAGTAGATTGCATTGAATATGATAAAAAACAAAATTTGAATTAAACTTAGTCGAATTAGTTGAAAATCACTTCGAGATTGTCTTGCTGGTAAATGATTTAAAGTTTGTTGTGTTAAAGAAGCACTTGGATGAATTGTTCGACCTCTGTTTTGTAAATTTTTCATTATTAAGAAAACAAATAAGATCATAATAAATAAAGGAAGAATTCCAATAATAATTGTATAAACTGTGTAGAATATAGCATAAGTGGAACCTGGCGGTGGCATGCAACCAGAACTTAATGTTACACTTGGATTTCCAATTGGAACTTGTAAAGAAAATAACATCCAAAATACAAAACTGAAAAGGATCACCCATCGACCATATTTTAGAGAACTTTTATTCCTTAATGAAGCTGAACGTGATGTTATCATCCAGCGATCCAATAATATTAAGCACAAAAAATGCCGACTTAAGGCAACACTCAATACAGATCCGTAGATTCGAAACTTACAAAGATCCATTGATATTTGTGAATAATCATAGCCATTATTCCAGCCAATAACTATCATACGATAAAGACCATTGAAAAATAGTGAAAGAATTTGACTAATTGACAAACATATGAAATACCATGAACAAATATTTGTGCGAAGTCTACCATAAGAAAATATTAATATATTTGCTACATTAGTAAATAATCCACTGACGAAAACAACTGGAAAATAATATCTTGTAATTCCAATATAAATGTTATTCAATACAACTGCGGTAGATGACATATTTTTAATAGTAATTTGTATACAGATTGTATATACTAGTTTTTGTTGAATCTTAAAAGTAAAAATGAAAAGGAAAAAGATATTCACATCGTTCACATTATTCTACAGTAGAAATGAACGATGAGGAAGAAAGTTTGAATGTGATTTATTAAATAGCCAAAATACTCTGATTTTAATATTCTTAATGCTAAAAAAATGTAAATATAGAACACCTTAAAGGTTCAATTTAATTTAGTGTGCTATAGAAATGTTGCTGTTTCTTTTATGAATTTTGTATGTCGCAATAGTACTTCTTCTTAAAAATTTTGTCGTCTAATTATATAATATCTTATATAGATAAGTCTCAAATTGAAAGCTCTCTATTGAGAATACTATTTCAATATTTTACTCAAGCTGTAAACGATTTTGTTGATGAATCGACTTCTCAAGTATAATTTTTGATGTAAGAAAGGTATCTATAAGAAAATGGAATAGTTGTTTGATGTATTATTATCGAATTTGATTGAGTAAAAGTAGTTTTGAAAAAGTTAGTTTAAGCATTAGTACGTTTTCAGATGTGGACACTTTTCGATATAGAAAGTAAATAAAGAAAAAGTGTCACCCCTGGTGTCGGCTTAGCATTACTGTTAAAAAACTGATTTGATGTTTTGGTATTAGGATTATAAAAACTAATTTAATATTTTGACATTAGTATTAACTTAGCATTAGTGTCATACTAATATTTGACATAGTCATGCGTGCATATTTTCTTACATCTTGTTTGAGTTTTAATATTGGCCTATTTAATTAACTTTCTTTTTATATTACTTTTTATAGAACAACACTATGTGTATATGAGAAGAAAGAAGCAAAGATGAGAAGTGAATTCAAATATCAGCTAATTAACTAGAAAAGATTGTGAAAGAGTCATTCTCAAAGTATCTAAATGCACATTACAATGATATTTTTGATGTCAAAAAGAGATCTCCAAAAAATGATCAAAACATTGATCATATGGTAGATTTTGAAGTGAATACATTATTAGGGTAAAATAGAACAAGAACTTAATATTGTTTTTATTTTGATGATGATTGTATAAATAGTTATCCTCTTCTTGACATCCAAAATGTGATTATAATGAGGTTAGATAACTGGAAAGTGATTTCTGAGCTCATTTCTCATCTTTCTTCTTACATGCGCATGGTGTTTTCCGATAGAAAGTAATATAAAGAGAATCTACCTAGATATGCTTCAATACTAAAATTGAAACAATATATTTGAAAAAAATTACACTTACCTATGACAAATATTAGCATGACATTAATGCTAACTTAATATTAATGTCAAAATATTAAATTAGGTTTTTTAATCCTAATATCAATAAGCATTGAATTATTTTTTAATTTAATGCAAAAGTATTAATATTTTTTTAACAGTTATGCTAAATAATTACTCTCTAAAATTAGATTCAAGAGAATCTATGGACATTAATTAAAAATTTAGTTATTAAGAGAAAATAATGATTTTAGTTTACAAGAATAATACTCAAGAATAATAGAAGATAATAAAAGAAATGAGGATATGGGGTTATAGGTATAGATTGAGTATAATATTTTCATTCACACTGATCCTCCAATTTTGATTTTATTTCTTTCATCATTAAAGAAACTTTTTTTGAAATACAATGTTCAGCAAAGTATAACTATATCGATGTAAATAGTAGGTATCAAATTATACTGAATCTATTAATTCATATCGAAGATATCTCTAATTAGAAAATAAACTTATAAATGTTAGTATTTTTTTTTTGGAAACTGAAGCATTTATTGATGTTTCTGTCTATTTTATTTTTCTGATAATGAATTTTTGTGAAGCTTACATATATTTTTCAAAGAAAACATATAAGTGCAAGTTATACGTCGTGAATTCTCAACTCCTACTGTCTTATCTTCCTCGTGACCATGATCGATGGACAATGAATAAATTTCGGTAGTTTCGAGAAGAGATAAGGCCAGCAAGCGTCAGAGTACAAGTTTCTGTAGTAACGAGACGACAGTAGAATAAACAATAGGCTTGTAAAATAATGAAATGCGATAGATTTGAGTATATGATATATGTAAAATCCCCACTCTCATCCATACCTATTCATCGACATGTGACTACGCCTATCCTAGTTATTTTTAATATAATGATTTTTAAACTTTTTAAAATAAAGACAAATAACATTTTCGTTTTCGAAACACAAGAAATTAATGTAAAATAGAAAGCTCTCGTCTTTATTTGGCAAAATGTACAATAGCAAAGAGATCTCAATCATCAATTTGATAAACCCATTTTATCTGTTTTATAAATCTTCTTTAATTTTATATTTTCAAATCGCAAAAATTTCACATCCAATGAAGTTGATCAGATTGAAACTATGCAAAAGTCATACGCACAAAAAGGAATTTATTTTGCAATCTTATCAAATATAGTTTAATATTATAATGAGAAAATATATTTGGCATAAGAAATAAACCTTACTTAACAATCTGTTTTAAGCCTGTTAATTTTTTTTTCTTAACGTATTCTTTGATTTTTAAATAGAAATAAAAAAAAGTCATCCTGTATATTTAAGATAAATATAGACTGTAATAAAATAAGACAGAATCAAAGCATAAATCTAATCTCGATCATGTGAAAAAACTCGTTTTTGTGTTTTACGACTAAAAATATTTTTAATCTACCTTTATCAAAATAAAACTTAAGAAAAAATTTGTATCAAATGCTCGAAAAGGCATATTTTCAACTTTTACGAATAATCGATTTCATCATGTTTAAAATTATGTTTCTTTATACCATTATTTAATCTTACTAACAGTATATAAAATAATCGAGCTGTTAGTCGGGGTCGCAGTTACTTTACCGACAAAATCTTTTCATGTCTCACCCTGCTAAATCTAATATTTCCTAGGGTACACTGCGAGTAGTGAAATATTTTTAGCAGATTTCAAGTTTTGTTGGTAAAGTGTACCGAACTAATTTGTTGAATGATCAGTCATAAAATTCAACTCAAAGAGATTAATGAACTTTAGAAAAACAATTTCATGAGTAGAAAAATTATGATCAATTGCTTTTTATTCGTTTCGATTCACACTTGGAAGTGACAGAAAAATAAATAACACGTGTCTTTTCTGCTTCTTACCTTTAACCACTGGCTTACGCAATAGTAAAAGAATATGAGTCATGCTTAGTTGGAAAAAATAAAATCGGTTTTTACCAAATTTAATGTGTATGAATCAGTAATAAAATACAACTGAGAGTTGCATTTGTCTTTATAGCAATGGCAGAAGGACAGAATACGTTTCCCTTTTCCATTATCAGAAAAGTGGTAAATATATTGCTTTACAGATATACAAAACAATTTTTAACCTGTATTTTTTTCTACATAGAATAATGAGATGGATGTCGCCAATAATCGTTCTCTCATTAGAAATCATCCTTGTAAGTTATCTTTTATTAAAGCAATAGACTTATTCACTGTTGTATATGTATATATTATTCAAAATAGCTGCTGTTGCATGTCGAAATCAGGTTACTCGTATTGAGTCTTTGAAGGACTATTTTATGCGTTCCTGTGGTATATGTCCGACGTTTTTCGAAGGATCTTTTATGGAAGCTTGTCAATCAACATTTAACTCAGAAAATATGGAAAAAGTTCATTTAAATTTATTTTTATAAATGGATATATATATTAATGCTTTGATTTATCATATTTTAGTCTCGTCCATTACTCATATACATACATCATCAGGAAAGTACACGGAATTCTAAATTCTGTGTGGAAATATTCTGTTCAAAGTTTCTTATTGATTATTTACGTGAAAATTACATTATTTGGCCATGTGATATTTCGTTTGAATCAAATCAGAATATGTATGTAAGCTAGTTTATTAATTTTGCTGATTTATTCTGAATAGATTGATCGAAATTTGGAGAGAATTTTTTTCAAACGAATCTTTTGTTGATTTTTCCGCCGAGCAATGTCCAATGTTCATCGGTGTCATACGACAATCTTTAGACAAATATAATACTCTTAGAACATCTCAGTATAGATTTGAATTATTACTCCAATATGATAGTTTAATGCGTACTACCCAAAAGTTAAATCTTGAAACATTATTTGATGAACTGTTAAAATTCCAAGAAGAATTTGAAGAAAATGAAAAATATCTCGTAAGCTTTTATTATTCATTATTTTCATAATTTATTATTAATTTTATCTCAGTTATTCGACTTTCGTAGCAAGACTGGTCTTTGTTGGGAACTTATTCTCGAAGTAGCTAACTATCTTTCATTAAACGATGTTGTTACTGCATTTTCCTCTGATGTTCTTTGTTTATTATGGAGATACAACAAAAAACTGCCTATTATAGAACCGTCGGAAACATTTATGAGAACGATGATTCACACAATCATGCCTGAACAAATTGTATCGTTACGTATTAAAGCGGATCATCATAAATCAACGATAGAATTAGCTCCGCCAGCTACTTTCAATCATGTTAAGAAACTTACTCTTGTCAATTTTCAGAAAAATCAAATCATTGACTTTCAAAAATATTTTACAAGGCTTACTTGTCTTTCACTTTTTTATGAAGAACAAATGTGTTTTCATAGTTTTATGAAAATATTCAATTACCTCAACAGTCCAATTAAACAATTCGAAATACATTGTCGAAATGTACTTTGTTCTCATCGTCGTACAGATCTCATTTTCCAAAAATTAAATACTCTCAATTACACTATCGAACATTTGATACTTAATATAGCGCATATTTCCATGACAATAGTGAACAAATGTTTCCAATCCTATACCACATGTCTGTTAAAGACAATAATTGATTTTATAAAAATCATGACAAATATTCAATGTATTCATATTATTATTAATCAAGGCAGCATCGAAAAATTATTAGATATCAACGAATGGAAAAGTCTAGTAACGGGATGCCGTAAATTAAAAAAAGTGATATTACACGGTAAAAGAAGTATGTTACAAGACGAAAAATTAAAGCAACAAGCACTGGAAATTCAAAATCAAATGTCCAATGGAAAACGAAAAATTGATTTCGAAATAAAACTGAAATAATTTTTTGTATCCGTGAATAAATAGAACGAAAAAATGTAACCACTTTGAAAATCATGAAAGTTTAAAAAAGAAAAAGAAAACCTCTAGCTTTTATTCGTCTTCCTCTTATTATACTCTTGAGACATATTAAATGTGATTATTTTCAAAGAAAAATCCTTGATACTTTTTTTCTATTATCGAAGTGATGATTCAGCACATACAAATGCTAACGAAGTAGGATATCAATGCGTGTGCTATATAAGATAATCTATACCATTTCGTATTAAAAAGTTCTCGTCAATATTTGAATATAATTTACTATACGATATTTAATCAAATTAATCTCTTTCTTTTTCGATTTTATCTTAAAAAACAGAAACTCAAGATCTGCGAGTAAACTTTATCGATTATATTTGCTCATTATTTTAATCAATAATAGGTATACGATAAAAATCAAAGCAAGCTGATTAGATCTCTAACTGTTAATAATTCAACTTTAGTTTGCTCGTCATATACTACATATCATTATTTTCCACTGTAGTAAAATAAATATCAGTATCAAACGATACAACAATATCGTGTAAGATTTTTCTTCTGTATAGTTTTACTTCATGTGAATTTATTTCTTTTGACAACATCAACGTTCCAAACAATCTATGTGGTTATTCGTGTTGGAATTAAGTTGACTATCAATTTTTTCGTTGTCTCGAAGGGTCACTTATTGAATCGAGCATAAATATACATTTATCATTGAAGCCTATACCGTAATACAGATGACTCACAAGGTGAATAATGGAAAAGCATATATCGCTCAATCTCGTCGTGATCCCACTAAATACTTTTGAACCATCAACCACTTCGAACATTGAATCATTATGCTATAGGAAGAGTACTGTCACTGTTTCATACATTTCTTGATCATTCAATATGTGATAACTTTTAGTGCAGTATCGATTTCACTAGTAGTTTTATAATCTCTGTAAGTCATTTTCATCATCATTTTTTCTAATATGAGATAATACTTCAATCAAAAGTATGATTTCAACAATGTTTGAAGATATTTTCAATGGTTAATATTGAACTGAATAGTATCATCATTTCATGTGGATATAGTCATCTATTAAAACAATCTTTTATCTTTAGTAATTTGAATTAGAAGTATTTCGTAACAGATTCGCATGAGAATAAGTATAGTTTTACTATAACATACCAGCATTACTAGTCATCCATAAAAAAAAACAGATTAGTTTCTTCAGAGGAACGGATTAAACATATTCATATATAAAAATATAACAAAATAAAAAAATGCTTTACATAAGCGATTTGAATTAATAAATGACAGAAAATATACAGGTTAATTTTGTTGGAATCTATGCGATGAATAATTATACTGATAAACAACAAAATTTCAAAAAGATATCTTTATTTTTAATTTTAAGCTGATTAAAAAATATTCCATAAGAACCATATGTTTAATCATGAATTATAAAAAGAATCAAAATAATTCTATATACGTATTGTAATAATAATATCAAACTTTATGCCAATGATTGTCACTATAATGAAAACAGTTGGTTTCAACATGTTGAATTCAATAAAAATATAATCTGACTAGCATTGATGTACTTCATAGTTTATTTTGAACTTATTCTCTGAAGTATATGATTCCATTGCTGAAATAATTTCTGTTTTAAATCTATATTGTATATCTTCATATTTCGACTAATTTCCGTTAAATTTGTACTAGTTAGTTTCATGGTAAGATCATCAATAGAATTAAAGTAAGTTATATGTGGCCATTGATAGAAATCAGAGAATTGTAACCAATAACGAATTGCTTTGCGATCGAATTCATTATTAGGATCAGGAATATCAGATGCTAGAACACCTGGTATAATAGAAGTATTACTTGGATGTTTATATACTGTATCCCATGTTCGTTGATCAATAACATGATATGTATAATGCCATTCAGTAAGAAGATCAATTGATGGAAAAAAGAGTGGAATATTCATTCGATATTGTTCAAATAAACTCATAAGTGATACTTGATATGGAATATAAATAATTCCAGGATGACTAGCAATATCGGAATATTCATAACGTTCTTTATAAATATCTCGTAAATAGCCAACAGTTATCGATGTATTTGAACGTTTCAATGAACTTTTTAAATTTCTCATAAATTGAAAACGAAATTTATCTACATACATAGTTGCAATAAGAAATGGTTTTTTAATAATTGGTGCATATGTCACGTTTGTATAATCACATAAAGATGGTATAATAATTGGTGTAATACCAGTAAAATATCGTATATATTCAGCATCGTATAAATTGTTAGCAGCTACAATGTTACTAATTAATAAGAATAAAATATATATATATAATTTTAATACATGAGTGCTCTCTTTTGTTAGTTATTTTAAGGCAAAATAAAAAATAGTTTTTAAGAATTTTTTTCTGGAACAATCTATTAAAAAGATTTAGAATAATATTTATATTGGTACATCGTATACAATTGTTAATTCAATCTAATCTTATCATAAAACCTATAAAGAAGCTGATGAATTCTCAGAACAACAACAACTACGCTAGGAATATACATATTAGAAATGTTCGATTGTTTTTGAAAAGGAACAAATTCAATTCCTGAATCTGTGCATGACACTTGGACACAAAATCTACCATTCCCATAGTTTTAAACATATCTAAATATTTCTCGATTTCTAAATTTTTCATCTAATGATATTGAGAATAAGCAAACTGATGTTTTGACAATTGTAAGATCTCCGTCATATGTAGAAGAGTAAGATAAAAAAATGTCTGTTTTATATCATTATTATTGATCTTAATACATACCGAGGATTTAAAGCTATAAGTTGAAGATTTTTATTCCATTTGATCCATTCTTCCTTAGAAAATCGTCCCATTTCATAACGAGTTGATGCTATAATAATCAGTGGTCGATTAAAAGGCATAAATACTTCACACATTGCTGTCGGATGAAAACATATAAATGCATCAACTTGAATCATTTCTGGATCATTTTTATATGCTTCATAGAACTTCTGTCGTTCTTCGATGCTAGGAGATATGCCATTTGTTTTATCCAAAACTTTTAGATTTTTTGCACATGTTTTAGTTAAATGACAATGATTTGATAAACTTTTATCGATCAATTCAACATCAAATGATAAAAGTTGATGCTTGATATCATGTATTGTACTATTAATTATACAAATAGAAATTAAAATAAGAGATATTAGAAAATATTCTGTGTTTAGAATTAAAATAGTTAAGATACTATCTTTCATACCTTATATGAAAGTCATTACTCCATATGGTAATATTGCGTTGTGAAAGTTGTACTGTTTCTTTTAATAATCTTGTTGTAATAATCATTAGAAGAAAATTTCCGGTACAGAGAACCACGATGGTTAATTTTGCAATAGTTTTAAATCGACGATATGAAACACGTGACATTCTAATCGGAGCCATAATAAAATACTCGTTTGATATATGAATTAATAATTCTTTTACAAATAGAATAGTGTATTGTTTTATCTAAAAAAACTTCGAAAACAGAAGATATATTCATATCATTTCATTACATGGAACTAACTTATAAAATATGTGTAAAATAAATGAGAAAAAAAACATGGTTGATTGCAATCAAAATAAAACAAGAATGACGAAGAAACTTTTCAAACTAAGTATTATATAACCTATGTAAAATAATATTCTACAATATTTGCTATCATGTGATTTATTTTTAGTTTTTGAATATTATAAGGTCTATTTCTCGAATAAAAAATTAATGTTAGATAACTAGCACTCTCATTATACCAAACACATATTGTGTCAAAACACAACAATTAGTTGAAATAAAGTTACCGTTAATGATGGATAATAAAAATTAACTATATAAAATCACTTACTCGAATGTTTTTGTCAAGTTAAGGCTCAGTAGTATGACTATTTGCAATCGGTATATATTCTATTCAATCCTACTTTATCAAAACGACGATATTCGTTCGTTCGTTCTTTAACTATTACCATGTGTTATATTATTTATTGAACCATATCGAACATAGATATACAGGTAACGAAGAAACATATAAGATGACTAATAATAGCCCACATACGAACGCAGAAATAAATGAAAGAGAGAAAGAAAAAAGTCAATCCATGCATACGAAAAACTACGAAAAAAAAGTTGAACATCTATTGATAGCTTTCACAGATGTTCTGTCACGTTCATAACGTTTCGTAGACACCCATAATATATAACAATAACGTGTCGAAAAATAAATAAAAGTAAATGATCGCATGCTACCGATTATATTCACTTACATAATTATTTATATAATCATTCATGGTCTCTTCTATCATGTAACTTATACAATTTATTTTATATTGTTAAATTGTATTTCTTGATTGTTTCATATTAATTATTAAATAGTAGAATCTATTGGTATTGGTTAACGAGGATGCATAGAATAATTGAATCAGTTGAATTCTCTGAAAAGTTAATCTTATATTGTTGGTTAGACAAATAATTGCATAGAGAAAAATTGAAATACAGTGAAAGCTTATTGGATTTATATATTCTATTTATCTTTTGTAATTCCAATCTTTCATTCCATGTATTTTTGAATATATTATACGAAATAAGAAAATACGAAAATATGTTTTATCTTCAACGTGTCTTCAAAATTGAATTATAGTACGGAAAATTTGATAATACTAAAATATATCTATCACCGCTGATTGGGATACAGATCGGTCGGAGACTGAAATTGTTATAAAATAAGCTAATACAAGGATAATTAAATATTGTCATATGAGATAAGTGACTTCGTATAATGACTAATCTTCATATAAAACAGATAAAATTGTGCTAATATCAATCCAAAGATAGTCATATGACTTAATGTATTAATCTATATTAGATATTTTTATTATTATAGAAAATCTTGTATTATTTACCTGCTTCTCATTTCCTATATTTAAGTTTCAATGCAAATATATGTATATAAATTCTAAGTTAAATAGTAAATGTTGATCTTTTATCGTTCAAAACAATGAATATTGTTAAATATGATTCAGATGTCGAAACTTGGTTTCTGTGTTAATTTATATAGCAATTTAAAAAGATAAAAGTAAAAGTATAAGAAAAAATTTACAAATCATCGTTGTTTTTTTAGATCTATATTGATCGAATTGAGCTTGACGAGAAAAGAAGGATATGATCTTGAAACATTGATATCTAAATGTATTCTTCATCATAGGGAGCATAGTGTTTACAGTTTCGATTATGTCGATGATTTCCATCTTGTCGTATTGGTTGAAAATCAGCTAAACATGACCAACAAAATTCATGATGGCATTTAATACATTTTATATGATCACAACCATCACTTTTTTCTATCTGATATGGACATTTTGGACATTTTTTTGAATTTTCAACAATCCATCGTCGACTAGATTCATCATTCAAATCAACATTTTTATTATATTCTTCACAAGTTAATCCTTCATGCCATTTTACTTTATGCGTAAAACATGTCTTTTGATGACAATTAAAACAAGTAACTATATTATTCATTGCACCATCTTCATTTACTTGTCCAACATTACATGAAGGGTTTGAACACCATATAAAATCATCCATTAGTTCTAATTGTCGATTCAATATATATCGATCATATCTATCAATAAGGTTTTGATCACGATTTGATAAAAAAATATTTCTTACAATATCATAATCAAGTTTAACATGGCAATCAGGCTCAGGACAATAAATATCATCAGTAAATGTCACTTGAAACGTTTGTTGAACATGATTAAAAAGACAAGATTTACATATCGATCGAACTGGATGTTGACAAGCATTAGCAAATGAATAAATATAGTCATTTAAATCTTTATCATCATAACATATCAAACAAGTTTGTTGTTCGAAAGGAAACGCTGATGATCTATTAATAAAATAGAAATATTTATAATAATCAGTCAATGTATTAATCAACAACAAGGTCTAATGTTATTTGATGATACTCTTAGTTTTGAAATGAAAGATTAAACAGCAATTCTGATGGACATATATATATCTACGAATTTTGTTATGTGAATTTTAATATCGATCAATTTTGTTTATAATCTTAGAAATGAAACAGTGATCTTTTTATCAATATTTCAACAAAAAATACGATTTACAGCGAATATGATGTGAAAGTACGTTTGAGAGTTAGCACAAGAAAATTAGATATAGTATTTCAAATATTGGTATTATTATACTTTCATCTCACCTGAAATTGACTGAAGCAGTACGTGTTGAATGCAATGATCTTTCAGTTGCTTCTATACCGGGTAAAAAGTCAACACCAATGCAAAAACGTAAAACTCCATATTGATTAAGTGTTTTTCGACTCTGTGATGTATCCCAATGAATAATAATGTAAAGAATTATGCTTGATATCATAATACATGTATTAACTTTCAAGAAAGTAAAAATTCCTGCATTATAAAAGATACCAACATCATCAGCGATAGATTTTGATCGAAATATAGAAAAAAGAAATAAATAAACAATAAATGCTCCTATAATCCAACGAATAATTAATATTAAATGAATGATTTTTAAGAGGAAATGTTCGATGGTATTTGTAAATTTAAGAATGATCCAATTAAGAAACTTTCGGGAAGATGTAAATCGAAATTGTTGTCGAATATGTTTATTCCATTTCATTAGGTTGATCCAGAAGAGTTCATTATAAAATAGATCATTGAATTGAAATACCAAAACACCCAAGATTATTTTTTGTCCAGTTCGAAATATATATTCACTTGAATATCGAATAAGACTAATACTAATCAAAATAAACAGTAATAAATCAAAGATAACTAAAACTTGTCTTTTCCGTTTACAATTACATCGTCGACGAACAAAATTCATATTAATTATTAAACGAATCCATGCAAAAATTAAAGAAAGATATATTATCTTTGTTGATTTTAAATTCGTTGTAATGGAATTTTCCTCATAAGTATAACATGTTTTATAATGATAAATATAAAGTAAATGCATTAAATCAATTAAAGGTAGTATTAATTCGAAGAATTTTAAAAATGTCATATAAATTATAAATATACCATAATCATTAACTATTATCAATAATACACTGAATAAAACAAGTAATATTGATACTATAAGAATAATATTTATTAAGGTTAATGATGATTGAATACATTCTAATAGTATTATTTTTGGATGTGTGTTTAATATGAATTCGAATATAATAGTACTGAATAAACTTAATATTAAAAATACAATGATAATTACACGTTTAATTACCATTTGATTTGATTATAAATTAATTTTATAAAATCTTTCAATGTTTATGTTAGGATCTATTAGTCAAAATAATTATTGATTTGTCAAAATGTACCCACACTCGATCGTTTAAAACAATGAAAAATTTTCTTTTCTTTTGCGGAGAAAATAAAGAGAATATATATACACGAAATGTATCACATGGTAAGCTTATTTGGAAATTACCAACTATAAATTAAATATGTTTTTTTTTCTTATGAGAATTAAGAAAAACAAATGGCTTGTTTTACATATATTACGCACGTTTCTTCATCTCACCTTTTCTATCGTCATATATAAAGGTAACCACAGCAGCTATGCTGGCAAAAATATTGTAAATGTCCACGTGACGACTAAACAAGAGGAAGAAAAGAACATACTAATATTTTATTTTATTAATGTAGACATTATCGAACATGTGCAGGTATATACATATATATATTGTAATCATCCTTATGATGATGTTAAAACATTTCCCTTTCATTCTTCTATCGCATATCTATATGGATCTTTCCTTACCTCTCATACATGTATCGAATTATTCCTTGTTGTGAGTCAATACATATATATGTATATATGCGCACATGTATATGCGTCGATTCTTTTTGTCCTTACTACCTCTGTTATTGTTTTCGTTGTTTTTTAACAACTAATGCTGAACTCGTGTTTATATTCACTTGTTTCATATACGCTTTAATATATGTTGTACTATAATATAGATACTAATTGGTTTTCATTAGTAAATATATATCAATTATTGTCAATAATCAAAAATTTTGATTTAGATCTTATAATATGGTACGCATCAAAGCTGCAACATATGGATTAATGTGACGATCTGACATTCACAGGTATATTTAACTAATTGATTTCATCTACGATTTTTTCTTTTAAGACTCCTCTTTTTATACATATATAAACGAGCTAAACGAATATTTGTACGAGTCTTACTATTAAAGGTTAACATGAAGTAAATGGATAATATACCTTTTGATTTTGTTTATGTCCATGTGCGTATGTAAGTGATTGAGATAGAAGTAAGAATCATATTTCAAATTATATGATTTTATGAGTTTATAGAACTGATGGAATTTGAAATAGCTTTAATTTACCATGAAAATCGATATCTGACAGAGTTTAAGATATTTTTGACTTAGAATTTTGATTTTCTTAATCTTTATTATCTTATAAATTTGACATAGATCATAAAAAATCGTATAGATATTTGTAATAATATGCTCACGAAACGATAAGACATCTATCATCTTCTGAAGTAATTTCTTTTTTCTCAGAAAAAATATTGTGCAGTTAAAAGACTGTATCTCAGTTGCATGAAAAATAATTTTTGTTTATAGAAATTCATAGATCATTCAATTTTTATTGATTTATTTATATTTATATAAGTAATGGGGAATTTTGCGTGCCAATAAATGGTCGATAAGTTTTTTTTCTTCACTAGGAAGAAAAAGAAAAAGAAAAAATAACTTTATATTTTGATAAGAAAAAGAATTTTTTTTTCTTCATTCCTTTAACAAACATTTTTATTGTGACAAGACGCTCTTTTTAGTTTTAGAAATTTTCAGCGAATAAAATGAGTGAAAATAATAATGAAAAAAATTTAAAACAATGTTTGAAAATAATTATCAATGCTGTTTCTGTTCAAACTACTGTGTCCAATTATAATTTAAATAATACAATACAACAAATATTAGATGAAAATTTATCATCTTTATCTTTTCAATGTCGAAATTATCTTTTAAATGTTTTAAGTGAATTTAATTATAATAATCCTGATATAACATTAATAAATGATTTTTTACATAATCTTAACGGTAGATTATCTTTACTTGATGCATCTCAAGGTGCATGGGACGGAAATATATCAATTGTAAAAAATTTTATTGAAAAATATCCAACATTAAGAGATAAATCTGGTCTTTATGGAACAACTCTTTTATATTCAGCAGCTAGAAATAATCATTTTCATTTAGTTAAATATCTTATTGAAAAAGGTGGATGTTCAGTAAATGCAAAAAATGAAGAATATCTTGAAAAGAATCAACAACCAATATTAAAAGCAACAATAGGTTCGACAGCACTGCATGCAGCCTGTTTTAATGGTCGATTAGAAATTGTAAAATATCTAATTCAACATGGTGGAGATTATTTTATATTAAATTCTGTATATGAATCTCCAATTGAAAATGGACAATCACAATCAAGTATTCGAAATTTTTTTTCAGAATTTCTTATTATTGATTATACAAAACAATCGAATATTATTCCAACACGAACAATTCTTTATGAAATTGAAAAAACTAAAGAACCAATTAATGATTGTATATGGGAATTTAAACCATTGTCTAGTGATCAATGGCTTCCATGTCCACAAAATCAATCTATTCAACTTCAACAGACATTCTTAGATAAACCATTTAAAACTGATATTCAATTAAAAACATCTAGAGATACTTATCATATTTCATTGATTAAATTTTTACGTTCAAGTAAATCGAGTAATCAAATAGAAAATCTTTCTTGGATTCGTTGTAGAGGTTCATCTCTACGTAATTTTCATTGTTATTCACAATGGCAAATTATGTTCGTACAATGTCCAACAGGTGTAACAAATTCATCATCATTATTACAAATATATGATATGAAACCAAAGAGTTCAGTACAACTTAATTCATGGTATAATTTTTATAATGAAATGAATTTTTTATTTGAAACAGCAATGAATTATCGACGTAGATATATTAATATTAATTTAAATTTTATTCATAATGAGAAAGTAACATTTGATTTTGATAATTTTTCATTTATGAATGAACAAAAGACAATTGAAGGATTTCTAAGATGGATACCAAAAATTATACCAGATGATGGTACTAGTTTAAGAACTCTTGATAATTTTCAATTACCAACAAATTGTGAAGTTGCATTACTCACAACAACATATTTAAAACAAGTCGAACTTAATCCAAATGATTTAACAGATGAAATTAATCAATATAATTTGAAATATGAAAATGCATTTGATAATGATACCTTAGATTTTCAAGATAAAAAGGTAAGAATTTATCTCTAGCGATAGATCGAAAGAGACTAGTCATTCTTTTCCGCCATGAATTATTTGAATAAAAATCTACTTTATTCTAGCCTATGACAACAGCAAACGATGTGAATGAATCTTTGAATGTTATTCAAAATGATTTGCTAGCAATCGAAGTAAGTTTAGGTGTTCAAGAATAACGAACTGTTATACATTAAAATATGTTTAGAGTGATGTTATTGTAGTATGTACTTCATCTAAATATTTATTCGACAGTGTTTTTAGAGCAGGTGGAAAATCTCTACAAAAATCTTGGGATAAGAAACTAAAAGAAAATAATAAAGCACCTGTTATTAGTATATCAACAGATGGTAAACTTACATCGAAAGCAGTTTATTTTGTTCCATGGGAACCTAGATCAGATCCTGATTTACTTTGTCGATCAATTGAAAAATTAGTTTCAAATGTAATAAACACAGCTATAAATGAAAATTATAAAAGTATTGCATTTCCTGCTATTGGATGCGGGGAATATGGATGTTCAATTAGTCTCATTGCTCAAGCATTTATTAGTGAAGTTCAACGACAATTAGTTAAATATCCATTAAAAATTTTATTTGTTATTCAACCGAATAAAATGGATATATATAATGAATTTCGAAAACAAATTGAACCATTCAAACAACAGGAACGAACGTCAATAACAGTTGGAAAAGGAACAATTCAAGCTGAAAAGGGAGATATTACAAGTCAAAAAGTAATGAACTTAATTAATATACATATTATTGATTTCTCTTTTTTTTGTTTGTTTTCATGGAAAAGGTTGATGTTATTATAGGAAGTTTATCATCAGAAAATTTACGACAAAGTTTATTAATTGCTGGAGGACGTGAAGTTCAGGCTGCTTATGAAAAAGAATATGAAAATAATCCAAATTCATTAATTATATCAATACCACCTGGTGAATTACCATGTAAAAGATTATTTTTTCTTCGATGGGAACCAGATGAAGATCCTGATATTCTTCGACAATCAATAAGTGATTTAATTTGGAATCTTATTCAAAATGTCAATTCTCATAATTTTAATTCAATTGCTTTTCCAGCTATTGGATGTGGTGAACATGCTTGTTCAGTTGATATTGTTGTTAAAACAATGGTTAAAGAAATGAAACAACAAATTATGCAAAGAAAATTAGCATGGACTGTTAAATTTATTATTCAACCTAATCAACAGAATATTTATGATGAATTTCGTCGGCAATTATTATTATTATCACCACCAGATGAAAGTATAAAATATTATTCTAATATATTCAATAATATTGTTTTTTCTCCTTCTTCTTCTTCTTTATAGATAATCAAGAAGCAAGAGATTATGAATTTCCTTCAACATGGCAAAATTCAAAACAAAATCAAATAAAACTTCTTGTACCAAAAAATACTGATGAATTTAAATCAATTGCTATTAATTTTGATACAGCAATGAAAGGAAATTATACAGAAATTGTAAAAATTGAACGAATTCAAAATGAACGATGGTATATGCAATATTTAGCACATTGCAAAGATTTCAAAAAAAGACTTTCTCAAGATACAGAAAAAAGATTATATCATGGTTGCCCTCAAGTAGCTGCAAATTCGATTATGGATGATTGTTTTAATAGAAGTTTTGCTGGTGTTAATGGTATTGCATATGGTATGGGTGTTTATTTTTCATCGAATGCAGTTTATAGTCATGGATTTACACGACCCAATGCAGATGGTGAACGATGTATGTTTATTGCTCGTGTTCTTGTTGGAAAGACAACTATAGGAAAAAGTTCAATGAAAACTCGACCTGTTGGATTTGATTCAACAACAGATGGAAAACATATATTTGTTACATATCATGATGCTCAAGCATATGCTGAATATTTAATTACATACAA